CTATTTACAACATTTCCACCCCTCCAAAATCCCCTCCAACTCTTCCTCCCATGTCCCCCAACTCCCTTTCAATTTCTTGTCTTCTTTATTGTTACATATAAGTTCAGACATTTATAGATATTATATATACATTATATATATACACACACATACATATATATGTTATATATAAAATACAGCCGGGCATGGTGGTGCATGCCTTTAATCTCAGCATTTGGGAGGCAGAGGCAGGCAGATCTCTGTGAGTTCAAGGCCAGCCTGGTCTACATAGCAAGTTCCAGGCCAGCTGGGGCCACAGGGAGACCCTGTGTCAAAAACACCAAAAAAAAAAATTATGCAGTTAAGAGCATGGACTGCTCTTGCAGAGGACCTGGGTTTGATTCCCAGCACCCACATGGCGGCTACAAACCATCCTTAACTCCAGTTCCAGGGGAATCTGAAGCCCTCTTCTGACCTCTGCAGCATTGCATGACACAGGTGCACTCACATACATGCAGGCAATACACTTGTACAATAAAATAAAAATATTAAATAAAATATTTAATAATAATAATAATAATAATAATAATAATAAAATGCACTGAGTACTCATGTATACATGTGTTTAGGATTGCTCATTTGGGATTAGATAGCCTATCAGGGGTTTGTCCCTGGAGAAAACTGATTCTTCCTCTGTCAGCAGCCATTGATAACCTGTAGCTCTTGAGTAGAAGTGGGACCCTATGGAATTTCCCCCCATCCACACTGGGATGTCAACTGGTTTTGTTATTAGGCAGGTCTTGTTAGGCTATCACACTGTAGATGCTCCAGACTCTTACTACCCTTTCTAGATTAATGAAGCAATCTCTAAATTTTAATCCTGGATGCTGGTTTTTCTCCTTTACTCCATCTAAGACACACATTAGTCATTTTCAGATACTACTTTTATCATGAACGTCATCTTTTCTCTCAAATCTTCAGTGAATTCTTATTTTATCATTAATCAAAAACTCTCCCATGATTTATTTCATAGAATCATATTGATTTATTGTGTCCCTGATGCTGGACACAAGAGAGCTATGTAAAACTAGAGCACACATTTTGCTTGCTTTGCAAGGGCCTCCAAAATGAACCCACATCTCAGTCCCAACTCATTTCCAGCTCTGAGTCTTGGGCATCTTCAGTTGTGAGCAATCTTCCCTACACACTCTCGCTTCTGCTCTTCCATGTCGTTTCCTCCATGGAGAGTTTTGCCTCTCCTCAACACTCATTTAAGTTTCACATAGGCTTTGTGGCTCTGTCTCTTCTGGCTTGATCTGGAAACTCATTTTTTGTTACTTCAGCTGCCATAGACCTTTTACTTCCACAGTATATCATGTAACATAAGACTTGAGGCTGTTTCAATCTCTTTACTACTGTCTAATGTGACTGTGCTGCTTATTGCATGTTGAATAACTACATATTGAACACACAAGGATAAGAATATTTGATCATTCTTACCTACAAATCTGGCAACTTTGTATGGGACAACTTAGGAGGACAGGACCGCTTACCTCAAAGAGTGCACCTCTTACTCGTTTGAAAGATTCCCTCTTCCCTGCACCCAAGTCTCCCTGCAGTGATCAGGGGTGCTTTCCTGTCTTCATCCTTGGCTGCCTGCACTCAGACTTTGTGTCACAAACATTTTTGGTCATTCTGCTGTGTGATTTAAGGAGTAGCATAAAGATTGCCTAGGCCTGGTGGCAGCTTGGCTACTCAGGAATGTTTTGCTTCTTATACTTGATTAACTGTTCTTTTCATTTGTCATCTTAGGTTTGTGGCCACGTTCCAATGGCTGAAGCCACTGGAAGTTTTTCTTCCAGAAAAGTGAGGTAATAGTCTTAAGATAATTTTAGAATTTATAAAAATTCCTTTAATATTATGAAGAGGAAAAATTATACTTATAACTTTTCAGGAGTGAGGATATATTTAGAGGGATTAGATCTCATTGTTGAATGCAGTGACTGACAGCACAGAGAGGAGAATCCAGCTATTCTGGCCT